CATCTCTCTCTTTCTCTCTCTCACTCTCTCTCTCTCTCTCGCTCTCTACATTATATATATGTAGAGAGAGAGAGTGACAGAGAGAAATAGAGAGTGACAAAGAGACTGAAAGGCTGTCTTTTTACCCATCTCTCTCTTTCTCTCTGTTTCTCTCTCTCTCTCTCTCTCTCTATATATATATATATATATAGAGAGAGAGAGAGAGAAAGAGAGAGAGAGACAGAGAGAGAGAAAGAAAGAATAGAACAGAAAAGATAGAAGTCAATTCATGTCCAAGTCCGATTATTTCTCTGACATGATTGTTGATTTCCTGTTCACCTGTCTCTGATGATATCTCAGGTGAAGGACTTACAACTTAAGCTGCAGATTTTCCAGCAAAGCTTACAGTCTGCTGAATAGGTATAAGAGTGCTGTGACATGTTATGCCAGGTAAATCTACCAAATTGCGTGCACATTTTGGTGGAGAGATTGCAAGTGAAATCAGGCTCAACAGATTTTTTTTCGTTGTACTGAAATGTGTTAAAACATGGTTTTGGTTCCAAAAAGTCTGGTAATTTGAAATGCGTAACGGCTTCTTCAAAGAAATGAAAGATGGCATCAAATGAATTTATTTATTTCTCTGTGGAATGATTTCAAGAGACCTGTGAATTGGTCGGCAACACAAAGTGAATGATATGTCGCCTTTTTTTTCTATTAATGACAACGCAAGCTCTTTCTCTATGTAATTTTATGTTAAATATTTCTCTAATTCTTTTACTTTACTAGGTGTTATAATTTACCTTAAACTAAATGAACTTATTTGAGTACTTTCCATATTTGGAATTTATTATTCAGTTAATTAGTTAATCTTATTTCCTCTTGAAATAATAAGGACCAAACTCAATTGTACTATTTTTGAGGATTGTGATAATAAATATCAAAATAATTATAATCTATTCCCTTCCTTTATTTTAATTGTTGATTACATACAAGTGCGTTTACCAGAGTTACATTCATTCTGTATGTTTCAAGATTTTCAAGTAGACAGTATACTGGTTTATTGCTTCAACAGCACATACACACACACACACTGGCTAATAAAAATGCTGCTTAAAAACGGTAGCAGCAAAAATCCGTACTACATCCAGCTGGTACGCATTCTTCACGTTCTCATGGATTATGACTAACATTTTATTTTTAAAACCTATCATAATTGTATAAATACTATTCTGCAAAAATAGATTAGTCTTTTATTCATCACCCAATCTTTATTCTTTGCCTCCTAGCAATGTTTGTAGCATTGTATTAATGTGTTTGAGTGATGTTAATTATACGCTAAGTTTTATAAGCATTACAGTTATAGATCAATTTAAAGGCAGCAAGCACACACACACATATATATATATATATATATATATATATATATATATATATATATGTGTGTGTGTGTGTGTGTGTGTGTGTGTGTGTGTGTGTGTGTGTATGTTTACATGTGTATGTATGTATGTATGTATGTATGGCTTATTGAAAGAAAAGAAGCAGTGGTTAATGATTAATTTACATATCTTTATGATTTTGTGGACGGATATCAGAAGCTTATCCTTGGATTTATTGAGGTGATTTCTTAGTATATTAAAACATTTAGTGATGGGTATATTGGTGTGTAGTTATTTAATGTCTAAACTAACCATATATATTTTAGTCATATTTATGTGTTGTATTCTTTGGAGTAAGTCACACGAATGTTTGATGCCTGTTGTATTGATGGTGCCTAGGAACAGAGTTAGGATTTTAGTGATGGCTCTAGCTAAATTCGGGGGTGTACTGTTAATTCCAGACACAATGGTCTTGTCTTGTGTAAACCATATAGTGCAGGTATATTTGGATGATAATCTATGAATCTAGATCAAGATTTGTTTTCCTTTTTTAATAGTTTCTTGATAGTTTTGTTGAATCTATGTGCTTCTGAGTTCATGGTAAGTTTATTGGTTTTAGTAAGTTCTTTGTTATATATATATATATATATATATATATATATATATATAAATGGTGGTACTCGTTTGGAAAGACCTCGGATAGCTCAACTTGCAGTAGAACAAATCGGTACCCGAGGTAAAATGGGGAATGAAAATAGAAAGAACCAAGGACATTAAAACAGGGTGGAAACAATCAATCCTGTGTTTAAGTTCCAAGTCCAAAGAAAAAAGAGCGGGCTTTACCCTGAAGATCCGTTTAGGTGAAACCTAGGTAAGTTTGACTGGCTCATTATCATATATATATATATATATATATATATATATATATATATATATATATATATATACTAGGGGGTGCTGAAAAGGTCTCCGTTAGAGCCACTTCCCAAACTCTGGCCAAATGGACTCCTCCATCGTATTCCATCGCTTTTTAGTTTCGTACTCAACCCCTAGACTTCCGATAAAGATTGTGGTTGTGAAAGCTTTGTGTAGAATCAGCCACATTTTTCGAAAGAAATGATACCTGATAAATAGCGCAGGGTACGTCACAAAATGTCCGAACGTCTCTATTCAGGTTTTTATTGTTTTAATCTCCATGCGATAATGGTAAAACCCAAAGATGCATATAAACATGACTCTTCTCGGGAAGAATTCAAAGAATTTCGTTCTCCACCTAAGGCAACAGAGTATAGTCTACCCTGCTATTTTATCTAGAGCAATAGGCGCTAGAAGAAGATTGATTCATGCTTCTTCCAAAGGTATATTATCGAACAGGGCGTAGTATACATTCGTGCTTGTTCAACACCTATTAATCACACCTGTGGTTTATATTGCAACTATGCTGAGAGAACCTTAGTTACAGTTTAGAATCTTTCATCATTCCTGGCAGATCTTCTAATATCACAGTGTGAAATAGCTGCTTACAAAAGTGAAGAATAGAAAAGGACTTTAAATGAACTCGGCTAGATAACAAAAATAAAGTTTTAAAATTACAAGTACCCCTCTGTCGTGCGAATGTGTAGTCCTATCAATATAACAAATTTAGTCCGAAAAATTCGTCAACGGCAAAACGCGTCACAAGGAAACTTTTACCACTTTGTCATACAATTCCCCCAATATTTATATATATATATATATATATATATATATATGGAATGCAAACAAATATGCAGTAATGAAAAAGAAAACATAATAATAAGCATATTAATAATCTCTCAAATGTTCAAACTCTTTGTCCATTGCATTAACACACTCCCCTAATCTAGAGTGTACACTCGTGCACACTCTGGTAAAAAGTTTTTTTTTATGACCATTAATTTCCTGGCAAGCCTCACGAATGAACTGAATCATGGGATTGAGAGAACGGGACTTGCGTGCGAAAACGAGTTAAATGTTCCTAGGAACACTATTATAATACTGGTATATACTTACTGTATATTTACTTTTGCATACTTTATACACACACACACACACACACACATATATATATATATATATATATATATATATATATATATATATATATGAGGTGGTTGATGCTAATTAAAGTAAATATCAAGGCCCGCAAAAGCACCCGCTTACCATAGCCATCTTTTCGTCATGAACAAATTTCAGTTTTTTTTTTTTACACTCAGAGCTTTGTGAAATAAAAGACTTAAAGTAACATAATTAAACAAAAGATGTCTTCAAATTTTCGAAAATACAGGAACATTTTTTCAGTCGTTTAACAAGTTGGAAATGAGCAAATTAAAGCTATGTGTCTTTCGTAATTCTATAGAAATTTGTAAGAACATCAATGAAATAAATAATGTTTTTCTTTCGCTTTTCTTGAAATAGATCATGCATTTATTGCACATTTATTTTGAATGCTGTTCTTAAATAACAAAGGTGTGAGGTAGAGCAATGGCCTGCTAACCTATACAGTGAGGCGAATCTGAGATTATTAAAACTTCTACCTGGATTCATTATTAGTGGCCACAGTCTTAACAGCATAAGACATTGTTATGGTCCAGGTTAGGACCAAAGAAGAACAACACGAACACAAGAGTAGAAATAACAAAGGTATATTACACGAAATAATAATACAAGATGTGAAAGGTGTTAGTATGACTGTCAGTCTGGTTTGGAGTGAACTACTATCGGCTCGACTCGATTTGACCCTCTCTCTTGACAGGCGTAGTATACATAGTGTTAGGAAGAGTTCATTCTGTAGTTATAGGTAAGGACCCATGACAGATATGTAGATGACACAGTGTTGACAGAAGTTAGCGATGAAAAGTGAGAAGAAAAGGCTTAACATAAATTTCAAGACTGAATGTATAGTTGTTAGCAAAAGGACCAGTACGACATGCACATTACAAATTGGAGATACCAAAATCAAACAATTAAGTATCTGAGAAGTGTTTTAACAGCGGACGGAAAGTGAAAAAATGAAATCCGAAGGCTGACTGGGATAGCGGAAAATGACTTCCAAAAGCTGTGCAAATATTAAGAAACATACAACATTGACTTGCAGCAACAGAAAAGTGGTTCCATAGATTGATGCTGAGAATACCATGAACCGAACATGTGGCCAATGACGAAGTTTTAAAGAAAATGGAGACAACAGAAATTTCTAGGACACATAATGAGGAAAGAGGGCTTGAAAAATCTAATTGTCACAAGGCAGATTGAAAGCAACTACTACTGTACTGTACTGATGCGGCATTCACCCTGGGCGGATTGAGCCGGCTTCTTCCTGTTATGAGAAGAAGATTCTTGGGATAAATTACAGAAGTAGGGTACCCAGGCCTACTCGGATAACGTTCTTGCTTACCGCGGGATTCCCACAGACGCAGAGACAGGAACGACCAGAAGCCGCCGGTTACCGATGCAGACGCTCCTTGGATTTTCACCAGAGCCCTTGTTAGCCGGCGTGTGTGTCAGACCTGTCCTTGGGTGGCCCTACCAGGAACGAAGTTCCGGGCGGCATAACTCTGACACTACCGTTTACACCCGCCCCCACCGACTGTGAAGTAAAGGGTTGGACTTTGGTTAAGGGTTGGCTTACGGTCAAATCACGCTGAAAACACCGGTTCTCGTTCGATCACCGAAGTTAAGCATCGTAGAGCCAAGGTCAGTACTTAGATGGGGGACCGCTTGGGAACACCTGGTACTGTAAGCCCCCAAAGTCCAAAAAAAGTTCAGATTGAAAGCAACAGGGACAGAGGAAACAGTGCATAACCTACCTAGTGAGCTTGTGTAAATCGACAGCGGAATAAGGTTTAGGAGGAATAAAAAGACCTTTATTAAGAGCTAAAAATGTGCAGAAAATTGTAGAGAGCTATAATCACCAACGTCCTGAAGGGATACTGTACACAGTAGAAGAATCAGTCTCGTGAAATAATTGTAATTAGTTCATTACAGACAAAGTTCCATGCTGTTGTAAATACGCTCTCGACTAGGCAATGTATGATAAGTCTTGTTTCGTATCTTACGGAATTACATGCTTTGTAAACAAGTATTTCGATCGCTGACTTCTAAGACAAGTTGTCTCTCTTCGTGTTCCACCCATATTTGCCGCCAATTCGGTTTGCATTCTTTCTACTAATCCGATTTTAATAAATATCAAAAGCAAATATATTACAGAAATGTCTAAAGATTTAGTTTGAGATATGAATGTATTTCTTTATCGTTTCTGCATTTAAAAATCACTTTCTTGGTTTATGGAGATAAGAAAGAATTTTAATCTTTTTGACTCATCGAAGAAACATTATAGTGAAATGAAACAATAACTGAATAGACTGTAATAAGATATTTATAAAAATTGCTTACTACTTTAAAAAAAGAAATGAAGTTATTTTATAAATATATAGTAGAAAATTGAATGTATCAATATTTAACTGACCTGCCAAGTTTCTGAATTTCTTAAGGTGGATTCCCTTGTTTGTGACACCGCCCGGTAGCGCTATAGATTCTTATGAAGTGTAACCTTTCAATTTTAATCATCCCAGATTGCCCAAAAGAAATTTCAAAATTAGTCTCGATATTTCTTTTTTGCGAGGACTGGAAGTTTAAAACAGGAACCAAAATACGTGCGTATCTCGCCTAATGTTGGAAATTTGGTACTGCTGAATTAAGCTTCAATGTATTGCGACTATTACAAGGAGGTACTGAAAAGTTCTTAACCTGGCCCAATACCAATATCACATTCCAAATAGGAAAATACTAATTTAGGGAAATGGTCGAGCAGAGAGCTTTTTAGCATTGTACTTCTTCTCGATACACTTCCGTAACTCAGAGAGCCAGATAAACGCCTTATGTCAATCAACACTCTGAAGACAAAGTCCTGTTCATCAACAGGTTTATTGAAAGTTAAAATGGGGGAAATAATACAAAAGAAGTGTTGCACCGTTGTAACAGGACAAGCATCATCTCTATCTATAAAAGGCAGAACGAATGTGTGTGTGTGTGTGTGTGTGTGTGTGTGTGTGTGTGTGTGTAACGAATGCACAGCTGCAATTTTCGACCGATTTGCACCAAAATTTGCATACACATGCTCCAAATTAGCGGGAAAGCCACGACTGACTTTGCATTCCCCAACTCCCATCGATAGTGGAAATAATCGATTTTTTCATGCTTCTATGGCAGTTTTCATGTAGTTTGCGGCCATTTTCTACTGGCCAGAGTGAGAGCCTATAGCTGGCTGCCACGAATAAGCAGGAAGATTCTATTAGCCAGCGTGTGAGCCAACAGCTGACTGACACGTATGTTAACTAGCATGCAAAAAAAATCTATAGCTGCATTCGTCACAAGTGGGAAAATTTTAAATCTGCATGGCACTTTACTCCAATTGGCTCATTCGCTTGCTTAAACTCAATGTTGATTCTGATTCCGCAGAACTGGGTTGGGTGTGAAAAAGTATTTGTTCTTAACATTCTTTTTTCATTCGGTTTTTCCAGTTACGAGTTCTTTTTTTAAAGCTGATCGTTTTGTGTTCATCTTGTTTAGTTCTTTTTTCGTAACAGATTTAATGTTTAGTATAGAGCTTAGAAAGAATTCGCAGTGTGAGATAGGCAAGAATTAAGGCATGTAGCAACATCAGCATGGCAAAGGGCATTCCTTTAAAGGCAAGGAAGGGCAAAAATATTTTAAGTCAAGTGATAGCGATTGCTGTATGAGTCGTACGATTTTTGAATCAAGCACGGGCAACGCCGGGCCATGCTGCTAGTCTCGTATATTTTCAGTGTCGAAAGCAAATTCATAATTTAATAACAAGATTTCACCGTCAATATTCATAACTTTGCCTTTTTATTTTTTATAATTGAAACTATTCGACATTTATTAACACTTACTTTTTATCAACACTTAATTACTTTTACTACATAACTCTATTATTTTTTAAATAGATTGAAAGTTAACTCATGTAAATAATCGCATAAGAGGTCATGTCACGCGTGCCGTAAACCATTAGGCTCGTAGGGAAACTATTATGTGATAAACTGATGAATCCATCCTACTTCAAGCTGTAGTAATTCGTAGTTTCCCTTCTCCTAGACTGGTTGCTACCACAAGAAAAAAAGAACCCAGTCAGTAATATTATTTAACCTATAGATGGTGGGAAGAGATGGATTCCTTCCTTTTCCAAGAGTATTTATGCGAAAGTAAGAAAAACGACCGGAATTTGAACTCGGTTCATCGATTTCGCTTTCCGAGTTGCTAACTGTTTCACTATTACTCACAACAAAAACCTTAATTATTTCAAGTGGTTTACTATAAAATGCATTTTTCTAGCATCAATAATAAAATGGAAACATTGGTTTTTCTTGCTGTCTGTGGTATAACATCTTCATCGTCTAACCGGATTTCACACAAGCATAACATGATTTTGCATGAAATCTATTACCAAAGAGCTTGTCTAAAATTTCGCTTAAGAACCCTATTTCATATTGGAAGCAATTTTGTACGCTGATCAAACTTAGAATATTCATCTACTGGGTACTTTTTTGTTTGTGAAAATCAATAACCGGATCGTGTGCGCTAATAAAATTAATTGGAAACATTAAAGTTGAACTCTTAATTAAAACTTTTAACTTGATAAGCAGATGCTGTTTATCTTCGATACTGCAACAAATTAGATTAACATTGAAGATTTTGCCGGGTGTTAAGTTTGTCAGTGTTAAAATATTGATCAGAGCCAGCGACATGTCGACAAGGAAAAATAATTCGCATTAAAAATAATTTTCAATTTCTTTGATATAATTAAAAAAAATAGCAAACAGTAATGAATTCTATAGAATAACGAATTTAAAATACCAAGTTATGCAATAGAATGTGTAGTCCAAAATAGTCAAATCGCTTTTAATGACAAAAACCATTAAAACGGCAGCATTTTGGATCATTATCCAAAATATTTCAAGAATGTAATATGATAATAATTGGGAAAAGATATTTAAATTATAAAAGAAAGACACTTATGTAAAAAAAAAAATGTAACACAATCTTTCAAAGGTAGTATTTTTCAGCCTTTGTAGACTTTTGAATATGTTATAATTCAGAATTAACTTCTTTTATTGCCTTATTTAGTATTTTACCATAAAATACAAACTTAATTCTTCGGGGAAAAATAACTGTGTTTTATTTATTTAAATGAAAATTCGATGAGATTATCAACACAAAAACTCAATGCACACAGTGATGAACTATAAAGCTAAAACAGGATTTAATGTTCAATAAACATGGAATTCAACTGTTTATACTAAAAAAGTGGGCGTGCAATTTAAAATCAGAAAACTTAGCTCAAGTTTAAAGTCTGTCAACAAGATTTGAAGAGAAAAGAGAGATAAAATATCAGCATATGTGTGCTCTTAATGTCTAATTATATGCTTAAACCTTGATGGAAAAAAAATCAATAGTTGTTCGATCAAGTAAAGAACGTGCGCAAGAAAATTAGATATTGTATGATTAACAGAAATTGATCGTTGTGAGGCCTAACATCTAATCATAGCTATTTCTGTCATTCGTACAACACAACAGATTATTGTCGCAGTTGATTGAGACTAAAATGTAGTTGGATTTCGAGATAGCCGAATAGGAATTCTCTCTAGGACATCAAATGCGTTAAAACAAAGTTTTGCAAATAATGACTAATGTTACGAGATGGTATGAGGAAGATTCCGGATTAGGCCTTTAAAATATACTCTGTTACTCCAGTAAATATTGCATATTATGTTTAAACTAACGGTCCCCTTGGATGAGTTCATAAATTTCTTTTGACATTTTGTTAGTGATTCTGAATCAACACGCCACCGTCTATGTTTCTAGTTCCGAGTATTGCAGTAAATTATAACTGAAACAGATTTATTATTTAGTTAGGAAAAAGAGAATCCGTGTTGATAATTAATTTCCCACGCGTGACAATCAAAACCTTTGTTCAATCTAAAAAAAAAAAAATCATCCGGGGGTAGATTTATATTTTGATAAGATTCAATAGCAGCACTCTCGAGAATTTTCCGTCTAAGCTACTTACTCTTTTAATAAATGTGGAATTCTTTAGATCAAAGTTGTGCTAGGTATCAATGAGCGTTAGCTGCGCTCGTATTTCTGTTAAATGGCACAATTATAGGAAGTAGAGTGCAGAAACTTTCTGATACCACTCAGTACCACTGTTGATAATTAATTTCCAATGCACGTGACAATCAAAACCTTTGTTCAATCTAAAAAAAAAAAAAAAAAACACTCACCAAAATATTACGATGATCTTCGTAGCAGATTTACCGGGCTTTGTGCAAAATTTGATGCAAGCAAGATTCTTGAATTTGTTAGCTATGGTAATGGTCGCTGAGTCGTTCAAATGCAACGTTACAAAACCTCGCGTAATAATTAAAGCAAAATAGATATGAATAATGAGAAAAGAAAAAATGTATCTTAGCCGGCGTGTTCCGTCCTCTGTCGGACTTTATCAAGGTAAATGTGAAGATATTATTCTGCAACAAGTATTTATAAACAAAAGTAAAAATATTAGTTTTTCAAAATTTCTAACTTTAAGACACGCTTATAAATATACATCAGGTTAACTGAAAAGTTTACTAAATTATGGAAGATGCTAAGTAACTTAATTTAATGTCTAATAAACAAATGTGAGTAAATTATGCTGATTTTTATGCAATTAATACTTAAATTA